GTCCAAAGGATCGAAATTTGTGTTGATATTGCTTATCCTCCAAACTAATTTAGAATATTTGGGTTGGAATAAATTGCCTAAACTAGTCATTCCTACACATTATACCATTGTACGTATTTTCTTAATGACTCTTATTACTACAAAAAAAAAGTTTAACCGATGGATTTTATCGATTGTACGAATGAATTCGCGTTTAACCTCTTAATTAATGAAATATCAAATAACAAGATTATATTAGTCTATCCATTTCACTATTTGAAATCCTTTGCAAAAAAAAAAATTATGATTAAAGATTTTTTAAAAAGTATTATAAACTTTCAATTTATATACGTATTAAAAAAAATATTATGATTGGAGGTTCATTCTAAGGTGATACTTGCACATGGTAAAAGACAATTATGACGATATATTTTATGGTATCTCAAAAACTCTGTATGTATATATATTAATAACAGTTTAATCCAATATTTATTTGCAATATGGGATTTATCGATTTTGTGTATGGTGGAAAATTGTTTGTTATTAAAAAATCAAAAAAGATCCTCCTTTCAGTACAAATATAAAGATAAACGAAATTCATATATGTATATATATATTTTTTTTTTATTAAGATGTTAAAATATTAGAGGAAAAAGCATGTTCTTGATCTCTTGGTCTTCAATGGCTTTATCTTCTTCTTTGCCTTTGGTGGCCTCAAAGCTACCCTTATGGCTGTATCGAACACTGCTTTCACATTCTATTAAACATTGACAAAAAAGAAAAAGTTTCCGCTTACTTAATTTTTGAGAAATTTAAAAATAAAGAGCTTAATTAATTTATTATATATTATTTCAACCCAATGTTTTTTTTTTTGTTAAATTTCAACCCAATGCTAAGTATATAAATTTACTTATTTGAAGTGAAGTACCTGTTGGGTTTTGGAGCTGCACTCTAAATACCTAACAGCTCCAATCATCTTCCTTAGTTCTTCTCCCTGTTACTCAAATTCATTTATACTTTCACAATCACATATATGATTTTGTTTTCGAAACATATAATTATCGGATATATGTATTCTTTAAATTTAATTATTTTTTTAGGGTACCTGAGCAGTTGTTATAGAAGCTGCTCCTGGATGATCCTTCAAGAACTGCTTGTCATCCCTCAAATCTGTATTATTATTTTTGTTTGTAAC